GGGGACCGCGGGGCGCGAGGCGGTCCGACGTCAGCTGGGGCCATGATGAACGAAAGACGATCTGTACACTCAAAGCAGTCGAGAGGTTGAAAATGGCTACGGTAGCATGAGGTGAACTGACGATCAAATCTCGATCAAATCTCGGAAAACGCAAAAATGCGGTAGTCAGCTGTGCAATGCCGTGGCATGGCTGGAAAGATTGATTGGGTTTCAAAAAATAAAAAGGTAACAGGGCATAACCGCAAGGGCCTGCACGCAATGGTTCAGTTGCGCATGGAAGTTGTTTGCTATAGGCGCGCCGAGGGGAGCTGGGTGAAACGGAGACTATACAAAATAGCTACCAATAGCAGCTGCTGCTGGTTCCGGATGACTGTCCTCACTGATAGTTGCTGGCATAGCATCGGCCATGGCGGCGGCAGCCGGTGCAGGTGATGGAGGTGTTGTAGGGGTGTACGAGAAGTCCGGAGCTGAAGGGGTTGCCGGTGGTGGGATTGCTGCTGCGGAGGGAGGTGAAGGGACAGGGGAAAGAGGTGGTGGCGTGTGGGCGGGTGAAGTAGGTGAGGGCGGTGGGATGCCTGCTTGTTGTTGGCGTTGCGCTTCTTGAAGTTCTTCCCAGCGTGCTTTGCACTGTTCAATTGAGAAGCCCACTCGACGAGCAACGTAATTCCAATTCGGTCGCAGGCGGGTGACTGTTTTGAGTTCCACAAGGCGAACTTCAGCGTCGCCATCCCAAGCGTCCCAATCAGCATCTTCTTTGAGGGGTGGTGGAGGTTCGCGTTTCTTTTTGGGTTGTGGTAGTGGTGGTGGAGAGGTGGAGGTTGAGGATGCTTGTGAAGGGGCACGCTGTGGTGGTGCGTGTTTGATGAGGGCCGCAGGAGCCGAATCACAAGAAGAAGTGGGGGAAGGGATAGGAACTGCTGTAAGGGGAGCCGGAGGGAGGGCCGGAAAAGGTCGGTGAAAATGGGGGTCGACCTGCTGTGTGTGAACAAGATAAAGGCTGTGTAAGTTGGCCAGGATGTCGGTCGCTTGCTGGAGTAAACGATGAAGCTGATTGAGGGCAATCGTAGTTCGATGGATGAGTCGAGCCTGGTCGGCATGAGACTGCATCTTGAGGAGCAGCGTCGGGGTCGGGCAGCTGAAGTGGTATGCTGGAGCAGCGGATGGCGCAGCGCAGGTATCAGCACTGCATGAGCGGCCGGCGCAGACAAGCGGAGCATGCAATTGAATTACGAAAATGAATTATTGAGCACGAAGTTTGCGGGACAGACAGAGATACATAGTGGGTGGCTGAAACAATACAGTCTGAAATGAAAAGGACACAAACTGCAGTTTGTCCTTGCGTGAAAAGAAGAACATGGTCAACAAAAAATTCCGGAAACCGCAAAACCTAAAGAGAATCTAAGCAATCATGCACGAGAAATCGATCAAAAGACAAAATGAGCACCAAAACTGGCTGTCGGTTAGAGGAAGTACAAACTATGTACAACGAGAGTGAAATGCAATGCATGTGATCGTAACGCAATGGTATAAAGACTGGAGCTCGAATTTTGCAAAGCTGGAGTTGGCGGCGGATGTGAAACTCATGGAAGGCCTCTCTCAAGTGTGTGGAGTTGGCATTGGTGTTGAAGAAGGTGGGTGGGTCTGTGGTATGTGGCGGAACCTCAAAGGTCCGGAGGTGTTGCATTGATAGACCACGCCAGTCCTTTGACTATGGCGTTATGGGGGTGAATCACCCAGCATCGGGCTTTTGAGTGGCAAACAGCGCCATGGTCTTGTTGCAAGAGGTCCATGGCTTGGGCTTCGCCGCCGCTGGTGAATTTGGTCCCTCGACCCCAGGCGGGGAGATGGGTCATGATAGAATGGATGTTTTTGGCCAGCTTCCACGTGTTGTGTAGTACACGGGCCTGTTCGTAGTTGTCGTGGATTGGCTGGTGAGTAATGCGTGTGGCTTGGGCGAAGAAACCCGGGGTGGTGTCAAAGTGAAGAGTGCTGGGCAGGACACGGCCCTGTTGTAAAATGGCGGTGATGTTGCCGTGGGGGCCTGTGTGGCCGGCGTTGATGTGCACTGTCTCTGGGGAAGTGGAGGTGGCACGAGTGGCAGGCGGTGGTATTGGGCGATTGGCCTTGTCGACCAGACTGGGAATGTTGATACAGTGGTAGGAGAAGGTGTCATAAGTATTGGTGGTGTCATTCCACTTCACATGGTTGAGTTGACGGAAGTCTGCCAAATCGTCGATGGTGTAGCCGATATCAGCGAGCATTTTGGCTACGTATGCGTGTCGTGGTTTGTTCTCTGCTGCCAATTGTGTAGCGTGAAAGTCAAGCCACCATGCAATCTGTTCTTGGTGGGAAAGCCGATGGAAATGTGGTGGGGGTGGCTTCCAGGGCGGATGGGGCCGTCGTATTGCTGGAATGTTGGGGAAATCTGCTTGGAACATGTTTGTGATGTGGCGCTGAGGTGTAGACTGCTGATTGGGTCGGAGGGTGATGGGTGCATGGGAGCGGCTGCGGGAACGGCTGTCCGAAGATGTGGTAAATGAGGTTGAAGGGGAACGGCGACGCCGGCGGCGTGTCGACGACGCTTTGGCAGTGGAGGCTGCAGGAGAGCGGTGATGTCCGGCGTGCTTAGTACGTGTGTGGCGACTGTGGTGGCGGCGACGACGTCGGCTGCGGCTTCTGCTGCGGTTGGTGCGGCCAGTGGTTGCACGAGAGGCCGGTGTTGTGAGAGATGTGCCTGAGCGGATAGGGGCAGCCGAGAGGTTGCTTGTGAGGCCCCGGAGTGGGTACTGAAGGTGCTTGCGTTGGGGATGGCAGCGGTGGCGGTAGTGGTGGAACGGTGGCTGGTGGTGGAGCAAAGTGAATGGCTGGTGACGTGGAGGGTGGCGAAGCGGCTGTAGCGGTGGTGGTCTGATTGGGATTGGCTGGTGTGGGGACGTTCAGAACGTCCGGAGCGGGTGGCGTGGGTGCCCCCGCGAGGGGTGTTGGAGCCGAAGGAGCAACGGTGGGTGGGGCTGATGCTGGATGTGGCGAAGGGTGAGCAACGGGTGGAAAGAGGGAGTAAGGCTGCCAAACGCCTTGAGAGTGGTCTCCGTGAACGGGAGCTTGCTGGGTTGGTGGTGGTGGTTGTGGTGCTTGCTGAGCTGGTGGAGCCGATGGGGCTGGCGATGCATGTTGTAAAGAGGGTGGATGGTGGAAAGATTGTGCTGGCATGGTCTCAAAGGCCTGCATCTGAGGTGGTGCTGGATGGGCGTGTGTGTGAGGTACCAAAGTTGGTGCCGGTGGAGGATGTGTTGGCATGGGATGTGGCCATGTAGGAGGTGGCAGTTGCGGTGGAGCGGTCTGAAAGTGAGGGACGATTGACTGCTGTGGTGGATGAGACAGAACGGTAGGGACAGGTGTCAGTGGTGGAGAATGATGCCATGGTGGTGGCTGAGTGCTAACAGTGGGTATTGTGGGTGCGGTACACGGTGGTGGCCATTGTGGATATGGCCAGGGAAACTGCATGCGAAGAGCGATGGAGAGGTCAATCCGAAAGGCTGCGGACAATGGCGCCGGCGCGGCACAGCAGCGGAAGTGAGAAAATTGAAAATGGCGGTGAATTCTGGAACCTGAAAACGTGTGCTGTAAAAAAATTAATTAAGGTGAAATCTCGGTATGCAGTGGAATCTCTGGGATGTGAGCATGTGCACGTTGATCGTCGGTCAAATGGCTGCGGGTTAAAAAGTTGGGAAATGCAGTAAACAACGCCATGACAATGCAGGACCAAATGAGTCAGGTAATCACGAGGGAGTCCTTCGCTTATAGCCCGGCGGCTCGGAAATCAGGAAATTCAGGGATAAATTGAAGAAACAAAAGGTCAGTTATAAACAAGCAGTGTCGATGAAATCCGGAATGGCTTCGGCGCCTCCTTTCGGAGGTTCACACCCAGTACCCATGTGGGAAGACTGAGCGGTCCACACTTCGAACTTGGGTTTTCAGTTAGACTCAATTGCCACGATGGGAAGGAAGGTGAGGGAACGGAAAGGTGCATGAGTCAGCAAAAACAGTATTGTTTAAAAAATGTTTCCGAATGGCCTCGAAATCGATCTGTACAATCAGTGCGGTGACGAGCTCAGCTGCAGGAAAGTGGGTTTAGGGGAGGAAGCATGAACGACCATGGAAACAAAAAAGCGGTAGTGGACAGCTTGACCAAAAGTTCACGTTGCAGGTGCAGGAATGTGCGTCCACATTCCCTTCCGGCTGAATCCCGTAGCTTCGTTGGCATGGCTAGGGAAACAGCTGCCATGCCCCCTGCCTGTGAAATCCCCCGTCATAGTGGAAAAGGTGGTGAAGGTGTGGAAAACCCTTAGAACCAGGGTGTGACACACACACACACACACACACTCGATGTCGACATTATTCTTCCTTTGTACACCTGCACCCAAATGCTTGTTTCTTCTTGACTATCATTCCCTATGCGACACGGACATTGACTAGCGTCCCCTGGATGGAATGCACTTACTGGTTCTGACGGACCTGGTAACACTCCCATACTATCTATCACTCTTCACTCTGCTGGTTTGACACACTGGTACCACTGTGAACCTCAATCAAGCGCTTGTGGTCCATGCTTTGACAGCCAAGGTACGACAGCACACACTTGCGCAATCCCACCACCACGCAAATATAAATAGTACAGAGTGAGATACCTCGACGCTGGAGTAGTATAGCAAAGTATGGCACCGTATCATATTGTATAGTATATATAGTATAGTATAAAACTATTGTATTTGTATTAGTACAGTATCAGCATTCATATTCGTACTCGTATCAGTATTACAGTATGATATACTATTGTATGGTATGGTATGATATGGTATAGTATAGTATAGTAGAGTAGAGTATAGTATAGTATACTACAGGCAGTATGCTCTTTGCACCTGCTCGCACATCGTAACATTGTTTAAAGCAGAAAGGAAACAAACGCGCTGTGACCACTACGCTCTTCAGTGCCAAGCAGCGGCCGAGGATTCCGCGGGAAGAAACATTGGAAAAGGCTCCGTGATCGCCTTTCCAAAGGAGGGTGGAAGGATGTGGAAGGCAAAGCCACAAAAATCTTGAAGTGAGGGAAAAAGCCCGCCTTGCAGCATCCAGCTCCATGAAGAGTTCCTCTTGCCGCAGAGCTTCGGTTTGAACCTTGAAAGTTTCAAGCAAAGAACTACTCTGCCGGAGCTACAGGTTTGCAGGCCACTTTAGGGGCACACCTCTTCATTCAGCAAATCCCGCTCTTTCTTCAGCTCCAGAGCTAGGTGATCCTTCACTTGTACAGAGTAGACAAGGGCAAAGCTGCAGTGTATCAACATATCATCTACCAATGTCTCCTGCTGGCAATGTAGAATGTCCTCCATTTCAAGGCATTCATGAGAGCAGGCACCACGTTCAGCAGGTAAGCTTCTTTGGTTGCTAGACACTTCAGGCCCCAAGTAAAGAAGGACGAAACCTGGCTTGGGTAACTTGGGTATCAATATCAATCCAATAAAGTTGATACATAATACATATCAAGACTTTTCAGGAGAGCAACCCCAATACACTTGCTGTGCAAGCTCCATGTCTTGGCCATGTGGTAGATTTGTTAACTTCCTTCTGAGCTCGCCTACACAAACCTACACTTGCATGAATAGGCCCTAAAGCGAATGAATGCACAATCCAGGTGGAGTTGCACCTTCTGAGAGAAGCCATCTGTTCTGCAGAACCAGCACCCACATAAAACAACCAGTGATTGATATCTCGAATCCTATCAGTGATTGGAGGAAACCTCACGTGTACATTTGACTGAACAAAGGGAACTCCAGCAAGCAAATGGTAGCCTTCGTGACATCTCTTGCTGTTCCCACTAGTTGTACATTGGTACTACTGCTGCACTTTGCCTTGAACTGTAAACCACCAAAGGCTCCTCGCGTATGCGTTCCAGCTGTTTCTGGAAATCCCTGGCTCGCCTTTGCACAATAGAGCAGCCACTCACAAAATAATCAAAGAATTCTCAAATTAAAAGGCTGCCTTTTCACTCCTTCCACTTCCGCTTCTTTCGCGTTGGCCAGCTCTATTGCCTGAAGTATGCTTCAGGAGAATAGGCAAAACGGCCTTTTGCACGCAGGCCTCTTCAGCCTCCTCGTGCAACAGTGGCCATTCGCACCTGTTTGGTCCCAGTGATCCCATGACTACCTGGAGTATTCAACCAACACACTTTTCTCTCACTAGATAATAGAACCCAGCTCCTCCCTCCTTTCTTCTACTTGGATGGTCCGTTCATGTTGATGAATTTCAACTCCCTGGGCACTCATGAGAGCCTAAAACTTGGTTGATGCTTGATGGCATTGGTAATTGGTAGATAATCGCACAGGAAAAACGCCACTCCAAAAAAGTAAACCCCATGACAGCGTTCAAAACAACTAACTGACTATTTAACTATATATGCTACCCCGCTAAGACCTACCTTTTTGAACTTGCCAGGCATATTGTGAAGATGTGTACAGTTGTGGGTGAAGACAGGTTATTGTAATATTTTCTTGTTTGTTTGGCTCTACAACTGTCGCAGGTTTTAAACCCTTCAGTAAATGTTTCAAAAGATTTTTCATTTTGACATCCTTTGCAATACTGTTTAGTAGTATCCATTATCTAGTATATATACCCACTATTTCTTTAAATACGTTTTAATACATTTCACACCATATGCATTTATATGTTGTAATTATATAGTTTTTTAAACCACCATTACATCCATGACAGTAAGCTGCAATTGGCACACTACCCTTGTAAATATCTATTGTAAATCCACATCCACAGTAGTTACATTGTTTGGTTATAATGTCCATAAACCATTGGACATTAATAAAACCTTCCTTAGGTAGTTCTCTTTTGCCCTTGCTATCCTGTATCATCACTGTATTTAACCAAACTGTATTTTGCTTAAATACCTAGCTCATGTGATTTGGGTCCAAAGCCGCTCCCTATAATTTCGTACGACAAAGTGGTAGTTATCAAAGATACCACCATCTATACTACTACCTTGGGCAGAATGACAAGTTAAGCACGAAGCAAATGTTGGTTTTTCCATACATGATCCTTATTCAAACCCTTGACCTCCTGACTTTGAATATTTTCTACATTAAAAGATGTATCACAATCTGCTACCATTATCCTTTGCAATACTGTTTCGTAGTATCCAATCCCTAGTTGCGATCAAAACCAAGCCATGAACGACGCGCGCGCAACGCACAGCAGCACAACCTTTCGCTGCACAGAACGGTACCCCTGTGGTGTTTCGGTCCAAATGTCATGGTCAAAGAACGAATGCATGGTTGGAGTCGGAGTTTTCACGTTTCAAGATTCACATCCCCAAGCTGTTCTTTTCGTTCTTTGGTGTGGTTTTTTCTTCTTTCTCTGTCTTGCTTTGCTTCTATTATACTCTTCATGTAGCTGGTAAGTACCTAATCGCACGACGGTTCGAAGAAAATCAGACGGCATCAGTTTTGTGAGTGAATCTACTAGCTGGTATCGTCCATAATCCATCTAACACAGCCATTGTTCCGCGTAAAAACTCTCTTACGATCGAAAGATCAATACAAGTTCTCTTTTCGCTAGCTGAGACGGTGCTTGGTCTGGAGAGAGCGTCAAAAACTGACTTTGCATCGGTAATGATTCCGAACTCCATGGATTCGATTTGGTCTTCCCAGTTTGTGCGCGATTCAACTTTAAAGTCGGGATTCATACACTCTAGCAAGAGATACCTGTACGAAGCAGTTTCCACGATTGCTTGTGTCTCGGCTCCTAGTGTTGATACTGTTCGTCGCTTGAGTGCGTGACTCTTCCAACCAAGAATCGAGAACGATGCAGCATCCTCCTGTTGGCTGCCATCACGAGATAGCCGGCTTGGCTTTTCTCCGACTTCTTCTCTTCATCCAAGGCATTTCCCCAAGCAGCATCGCTGGTAACTATGATGCTGAGATCTTCTGGCGCTATTGGAGACTTTTCTCAAGATCTTTATAAAGGGTAGCTTCCTTTAGGATCTTATTGCAATTTTTAAGATCTCGAACGCATGGTTCTGGAAACGCTTGCGTCAGCAATGCTACAGCACCTGCTAGGTCAACACGCGTTTCCTTGGATAACCAACTCAATGCTCCTACTTTGGATCGCAATTCTTTGATTTGTGAACTATTACACCTGGTATCATCATTAATGTCTGATCCTTTGGGGATATGACTGCGATCTTTACACTTGTTTGACACGTAGAATCTTGAGAGATATGGATTGCACCATCTGAATCTTGCACCATGTCCTTACCGCAGAATAGCCCCGTGGTAGTTTCCCATTTTCCGAACTTAAACTTTTGTTGCAAGGCTCCCATCCGCTCTTCACGCGCGATCGTTCCGGCGTGGATCAGGTCATCAGTCGCAACCATGATGACACCCTGCAGTTGGTTTGTCTAAGTGGAGGGTGTAAAAACTGGATCTAAGATTGACGGCTTGTACCCCAAAACTTTGAAGAGTAGGGTCTAAGTGTCTATTCCACGCGAATGGTGCATCGGTTATTCCATACACTGTCTTTTTGGTGGCTACCATGGATCCTGGCTCTATGCCTGGCAGTTCATGGACAGGGATTTCGCAAAACAATGGTTCTTCACAAACCAGCTGACCTCCTTGCGTAAAAGCCTGAGAAAAGTCTGCGAAATGAATCTTCCACCGAAAAGAGGCTATCAGTTGAAGACCAATGAACATGGTATCTCTTGAGATGACTGGCGCGGTTGTTTCAACCTGAAAAACATCCGGATCCTTGTCACCACGAACAATCCACCCTGATTTTGCTTTTCTTGGTTGGTTTTCCCGATCATAGTTGAGGCTTCTGTCTTATCGAAATTGTCCAAGTCATCTATTGGTTTGGCAACATGCAACAAACGACTCTGCATGATGCGATGTGCCTGAGTCTGACGAATCTTGGCTGCTTCGTTCGGTTGAATTACCTCAATGGCACCTGCTGCAAGGTTGGTCTCCCATTCTTTCTGCATGGCTTTGCGAAACAACGCTCTGTCATGACCATCTATAGATCTTTCAGTCTCAGTTCTTTCAGCTGACTTTGAGCGTTCCAATATCATTGCGGGTCCTCGAGACGGTCTAGACAGTAGATGGTGTTTGAATCACTCTGCTCAAGAAACCTTTGCTGCAATCGTGAATCTCTAAGAACGCTAGTCAGAAAAATGTCCTCAAATGAATCATCCAGTTAATCAACATGTGACTGGATGCTTTCGGCCTCACTGGCAAGAAGTTCTTGTTGTCCTATCGCGCGCATCACTGTCAGTTGACAGGTCGTGAATGGAATGACCTCTCTTGATGCCCTGAAATCGTTCTACATGGGTCCTTTTTGCTGGCGGTTGCTTTCCATGCGCTCTACGCTTGTTAGTGGGGTGCTCTGGTTCTATCTTGGATGCTGCGTTGTCTGGGGGTGGTTGCTTTCCATACGATCTTAACCTTTTAGTGGGATGATCTACATTATCATCTGGCCTGGATCTTTCATCTGGGGGCCGGTCCAAACCAGTAAAATCAATCAAATCACCAATCTGAGTACTTTTGAGACCATCTCTGACACGGCACAGATTCTGAAGCAGTCGGCTGCACGACGCGTCTTCGTCGTCACTACACAGTCGACACTGCTCAGGCGCTGCCTTAACTAAACGACTTTGGTAATTCAGAAACAGGGTGGTTGGAGCAATGACACTAGCGGGACCGGACCATCTCAGGTAGTTTGGTCTTCTTGACGCAGAATTCTTACGGCGAACCTTCTGCTGGGCGCTACTACATCAAAAGAACACTGTTTGACCAACCTCGAAATTAGGAATGCATCTTGGTCCGGAGTTCAAAGCACGTCGAATAGCGGAACTACACTACTCCTCAGAAAAGAATGCTCTTCTTGCTTCTGCAAGTCAACATCCCCAAGCGCATCTCTGACGCGCGATTATGCTTATTTTTGCCCCCTCTTAGCACTTCACCCGGCAGACATGGTGTCACACAACGGTGTGTCAGGCAATTTTTCATTAGGCAAGCAATGTCAATCAGTTCATAGAGTTCTTCTTGACTCCCTGCTTGACCAGACTCAACGCTAGCTTTCGCTAAACTGTTCTTATAACTTCCGCCTCCTCTTTCTGTTATGGCTGCCTGCGTAGGCGCTTCGAGACTAGATTGTTCGACCAGGCTACCATCAGTGGCACAGCGTTGCGCAAACTCACCCCGAAACTCTTTTCCAAGATCTGGATGACACGCGGCGCTCCAAACATCTTGACCCAACCACGGTATGCTTGCCGAATGCTAGAAGCATGCTTGCTGTTAATTGGAATGATCTGCTGGAATCGAGTTCCCCAGTGAACAATATTCAAACAATGTACACTTTTGTCAAAGTGTCTCAGCGTCGGCGTGTCTACCCCAACAACCTGGTTGAATGATAGTTGCCTAGGCGGTGCGGCTCGACGCCATGGTTTGGGTTGTTTGTGTTCAATGCGCACGGAACAGCGAAACTCCTTTGCTAGTGCGATGATGAGAGGTGATGCTCGGCCACGTCGCAAGATCCTCAGCAAATTATCGTTGCGTGGGTGACACAGACCTCTATGTACCTTCTGAATCTCTTGCATGAGACTTTTCCTTCTGTTGGCTGACATGTTTGCAATCTCATCCTGGACTTCTTGAGAACTGGGTACATCCGACTGGTCTGGTTCAGGTTCTTCCACGATGATTGACTCACTACCACTAGACATTGGCTCGACGCTTTGGACGCGGCTTGAGTGCTCACTTATCCCTTTGATGCAAAGTCTGTTCTACAACCTAGGAAGCACAGATGAAAATAGTAATTGCTTCATGTCTAGGTTCAAATGACATTACCCTCAACAAGGTCTCATGTTCATGAACACTCGAGATTGACGGCGTCCACCATTCTGCTCGGATATCGCGCTGCTGCAGCCGCCCTGGCACCTCCATTGATCTGACCAATGCAGTGGACATGTTTGCGTTTTCCGGAACAATCTCGTTTCAGGGCTTTGGCAACGACAGAATTGTTAGTGTTAGTGATGAACTGTTGACCATTACTGTCCGTCTGTCCGAAGGCGCATTGATCAGTTCTAACTATATAATTGCGCTCCTGGAGAATTGAGCAGCCGTCGAACACAGGCCTGCTTCCAGGACTTGGCAGTCCACGGGTGTTCAAACAAAAACGATCGGCCTTCTCTCTGTTGCAGCCGACACACTGCACACCAAAGGTCAGCAGTGTCATGGCTTCATTCCGTTTCTTTCCGAAAACTGGATTCTGGATCCTCCAAACAACTCTCATGCGTTCGCCCCAAAGCGAGGTACTGCAACATACTAAACATGTGATATGGAACAGAGACGGTGATTAGTCCATACTTGTTCTCTCTAATACGTTGTAAACATCGTGCTCTTTGTGCTGGCTGCTGGATTGCAAAAATCATTTCCCAATTGAAGGTCATAGGCACGTCCTGCCTGCAGCTGATGTCGAACAGCTTGCTCAGTGAATCGCGGTGGACTAAACACTTCGCCGATGAGGCGCAAGTTCAAGACATCAAACACATCTTGTGGATCAATCACTGGCTCACTTGTTTCATTCCACGAGGTGGTCTGGGTTGTCCAACTCAAGTTCATCGATCTTGGCCTTGACTAAACCTAAGATTTTTTTGCGCGCACCTTTGCGAAGTGCTTCGTCGGTGATTGCACACGAGCCTACTTCTGAGCACGGCGACTGGGACTGGCTCCGTCACCTTCCCTGTGGCATACTTGGTCACCAAGTCCGCATCCCCTGGTGACCAGTCGTGTGAACATGTGTTTCGGGACACGTCGGAGCGGACACGACTGGCTTGTTCCGTTCCAGAGCGTGAACCAGCTTGCTTTCTGACTTCCGCAATCAGTTCTGAGTCGCTGCTGGAGGCGGCTTCTTGCTTGGCGTCTCTTTCTTTTTCTTCTCGGTCCCGGTCGACACCATTGCACTTGGAGTCCTGAACATGCTCTGATGCTGCACAGCTTTCGGAGGTTCGATCCATTGAAGGAATTGGCACTGTTTCCCAATCTTGCGAGGGCGCCGCAAGAATCGGCGCATCCATGGGCCTTGCGTGCGACGGACATAGGTCGTCACTGGCAGTCCGCAAAAGCACAGTTCTCCTAGCTCGTCTTCCTCTGGGTTCTCGGTCGGGAGAACTTCTGAGGTAATCCCCTTTTCCTTCTTCTCTTTCTTGGGCTTGCTGCTTGTTGGATCGGAGGAGCGTGCTGTGCTCTCCACTATTTCGAAGCTCTTGCTTGACCTGGGTCTCCACGAACCACACGGTTCAGGTGAAGATGGAGCTCCTCCTGCAACTGCTCCTTCATTCTCCCCACGGACGACGGCGCTCCTCCTTTTCTTGGGCTCAAATCATCTTCTTCTCCGCCACCAATTCCTGCGGCGCAGCAACGGTGTCCTCCAGTGTGTTGACCTCCTCCTCGGGGTCTCCCTGACTCATCATGAACGCACGCATCAGCATCGACAGGATGGGCATCATCATACCGAGAAGAGCTCGGCACGTCATCTCCCAATGCCTTCGAATCTTCATGCGGCTGACCATCCGAGACCAGTCTGCTGTCCTCCGAGGCTCTGTCTGGTGAGCTTCTGCCGGACAACTGCGCTTGCACGGCGCATCTGTGCGCATGGTCACGTTCAGGCAAGGTGGGCTCGATCGAACCACTTGGACCACAGCTCTGCAATATCGGAATATGTATGCGTTTCTGGCTCTATGGTCATGGCTGCCTCCCCCTCCCCTGCGCATTGGACTGGCAATGCAATGAACCCTCACAGCCTCTGGCGTCGAAAACGTTTGTCTTGAAGACTGCTCTAAATTGAACTCTTGCAAAAACACTGCGCATTCATCTCCGATCAACCTTTGTGGTTTCCAGGCGCACGGACGTACGCGCATGACTGGTTCGAAATCGAAGAGTCTGACACAAAGCTGGCCGCAGGATTATAGTGTAGGCCAATGGACTCTTGAATGGCGCTCAAGACGCTGCTGTTCAAGACAAATCTCGGCGGATAATGCCCTGAAGATCAGGAGAATAACAAAAGTGGTGCTTCACTAGGTTCTTCCAATATTGCTGCACGAAGGCCGGACGACTCCCTAAACAGATGGGAATAACAGCAACTTGGTGAGTCCTGGTCGTTCCACCTACACCTTTAAAGAAAAAGGTCTGTTCTTCTCTCCTGACGTTCATTCCTTCTGGCAACCCGTCCTGAATCTTACGTAGCGTCTGGGAACCTACGGCGGATCTCTGACAGCCTGTGTCAAGAACGCAAAATGTCTGCGATTGAGCCTGGTGCCTGAGTGGAAAACAAGCGCACGTCATGACTAACCTGTGTGGACTGCTGCGCATGTCTTGCTTCCTGGCTCAAGGGGTACCAACATGTTGCGTCTACCCTGCATGAACTGGTGTCGAAGCAAAATGCCTCTCATTGATGGAGAAAACTGTCGATACCCACTACCCTTGCTATCCTGAGTCCCTAGATGAGCAATCCATACAGGCAGTGGGCGAATTTCCTATTCATGAGATTGGCTGGCTGTGTTGTCAACAGCCAATGACCACCAGCCTTGTCTGGGCCCATTTCTCTCGGACTTGCCGACTTGTGAAGTGGCACTTGACGCAATGGCTTGACTCGACTCCCTTTTGGATGTGGACATTCTTTATGCCAGTGTCCAACAGCATTGCAGTTTCAACATTTTGTAATCTGCTTGAGCTGTTGAATGTCCCGTCTGACTATTCCAGCCTGGCGAGACTCAGCACGAGTGTTCACTGCACGGAAACCTCGGCTGTTTCGAAAGGGGTGCTGCTTGGTCTGCTGTACTTGTCGGTAGCTAAATTGGGATGGTCGTGAAACCTTTTGCCGAATCAACGTCATGAGGACGTCTTTGGCGTCACTGGATTCCTGATCTTGGAGCCAAACATGCTTCTTCTTCTCATCATCTGGGCCCGACAAACGCATCTTGAGTTTGCGCATACCTTCGATCACTGCATCCAACTTCAAGCTGCCAATGGTCAAGGTCACCTATCTTTCCATGGTCTCTTCATCGAGGCCCCTGTTCCAGATCCTGAGTTCGTGCCGGCACCGGACCTAGCGCGATGGCCTCTTGACTCAACCTGTGAGGATGACTCCTCTTCTTCTCCATCTTCATCATCCCAGTCCTCAGCTTCCCTTGAAGCCCAGGTCGCCACTCGCGTGGGTTGCTAATCCTCATTGTCACCCACGGTTGGACCACCGTCCAAACAAAACAGGCACCACTTCAAGGTCTCAACCGAACCACGCTACGCTACACCAATGTGATCAAAACCTATCCATGAACGATGCCCACGCAACGCACAGCAGCGCAACCTTGCGCTGCGCAGAACGGTACCCCTGTGGTGTTTCGGCCCAAATGTCATGGTCAAAGAACGAATGCATGGTTGGAGTCTTCACGTTTCACCACTAGTTCTTCGAATATATGTTTAATACAATTAACACTTATTTTGCTTAAAAACTCTTCATTTACAATGACTATCACATCTACGACAGTAAGCAATGCAATTGATACATCACCCTTTTCTTAATATCTACTGAAAATCCACATCCACAGTAATTACATTGTGTGGCACGCTTATTAAAATAGCTTGTGATACATTGTTGAATAAATTCATGTTCAGTATCATCACTGTATTAAAGAGAAACTGTACTGTACTTAAATCCCTAGCTCGTGTGATTGCCGTCCACAGCCACTCCCTATAATAATTCTTGCCAGTATTCTCTGCAGATTAGCCTTTCTCCGTTTTCATACGCATAGTTCCTAGTTTCTAGTTTTCTGATTTCATTAGATACAGTTTTACAGGTGTGTTTCAGAAAGCCAATGTTATACTTAGAACAACTGATGTCAGTTGTATATGAAAAACATGTCTGAACGATTTCTGTAAATGAAACGTTGTTTAATAAAAATGTCATATTTCATGTTATATATGTTGGCTCCATCATTTTCGTTATTTCAAGCATCGGGTTTCAAATGGTTTCAGGAAACTGCGCAAACTTTGCAAGGCTTTGTAGGGTTTGAAATTCAAGATTCTGGGAAAACGTTCTTGAACCCAAGCCCTGACCTACATCCAGAACCCCAACATTCGAAGAATTAAATTCAAGAACTTTTCCCCAGAATCTTGAATCTTGAATTCCCAGGATTTGCAAATCGTGCAAAATTTGGGGATGTGCTTGCACACCTTTTGGGTTTCGACGTGTGTGTATGCAATATGTATATATGGCACCCCCAATCCCTCAAAAAAATGACCTCAAAATGTGCAGAATTCACTGTAAATACCACTGAAAAGTGTAGAAAGGTAGGTCTTGGGGGGTTACCATATATATATATATACATAACAAAAAATGACCAAGCAAACAATCAAACATAAAACGCGGAAGCACACCAGAATTACGATTAATTGGCAACCTGTGAACCGTGAACCATATAGTTTCCGTGTTGCTTAATCACATGCCAGTGCTGCCCAACAGCACCCAGCGCTGCCATTGCTCGCTGGTTGCTGTCTTCGTTTTCCTGGATCTCCTGCCCGACAAACAAACCTACACAATGATGAGACGTTTTGCATGTAAAAGTGCAAACCTTTTCCTCCAGAATGCCTCCTGCCTCCTTCAGCTCTTCCACTCTCTCGCGGAATGCCAGTGCCTCTTGCTCACAAATGGCCGCCTGAAAGCAGGAAAGACTCTACTTTTTAGGTTGATGTATGGAAGACTTTTGACTGATGTAGCTTGCCATCAAATGGGGAACCCAGCTTCCCATGTGATGGTACCCAGAGACTAATGCTTCATGTTGCTCAAAAAGAACAGCTGACTGCCTTTGCAAGGTATGCCGCGACAAGATTGCGGTTCAGGCCTCCGCATTCAAGTGTTGGCGCAGCCTGCTGCGCGAGTCAGGAGCACCTGAACAATCTTGAATCCGTTTTTTTCAGAAACGTACGTAGTGTCAAGGTGCTGCGGGTGGAAGACGCCATTACATCTATGACTTGTAGGTCGTTGCTTGTTAACCTTCACACTCCCGATTCAACTTTGAGCTGAAACGCAAAAGTACAAACCCCACATGGTCGAATGGGCAAAATCCTCCACCACTGCATTCCAAGCAAAACTAATATCGAATGGGGGTCCTGTGGTAAGTCTTGCAAACCAACATAGGCATTCTATGCATGCAGTGGTGCGGGGCTGTGTTCAATAGTAGTGCCAAAATTGAAGGGCTGACCGCTCTGAAGCTGGCAAGGAGAAGAAGAGCTTTCCTCCAGAGACTGAGTCATCTCACAGTATGTTAGCTAGATTGCCGTCATTGTTGAACTGCAAGTTATCCTTTCACACATCATTCGAGTTGAAATCAAACAAACTCTTACCATGTCCTTGATTCGCTCCCAGGCAACTAACTCCCTCTCTCCTGCCACCTGAAGCCGGATCCATTCTAGCCCCAATCTGAAACTTGGAGTGGTTTCGACAGCGATGTTTAGTATGTGCATCATTGTTTAGAGCTATGGAAATACTTTTATCTAAATCTAAACTGTCTTCAAGAATGCCTCCAATTCTGCGCGACCCTCCCGCTCTGCAGCGATGTGTTCTCTCAGCTCCACCTGGCAGGGAATTCATTTGCTTCTTCATGCCCAGCAGACCATGTCCGGCCGTTGCTGATTCAACCACGCTTTTTTGGGGGTAAGGCCTGCACTTTCAAAGCCGATTGAAGTTGTGCCTGCACAGCAAGGAGTCATAGAAGGGTAGAGGTGGTAGAGACATTGCTCTGCGCGCAGCAAAGGCAAATGTGGCAATTCATTCTCTACACGCGCTGTCACGGTATCAAGTTTTAAATGAATCGATCATGTTCCCTCCGTCCGTTTAATTAATGCAAAGTCTCGGGTTGGTCAAGTTGAGAATCGAGAGAGAACAAAGAATAGTGAACAGTGCGACCTTCAGGGAATCTCTGACAGCCACCATGGATGCCAATTGTTGATCTGCTGCCTCACATTCGAGAAACAATGAGCGTCTCAACAAGAATTACAGTAAAGGCTCTCCTGTATTTGTCAGGCCTCCACTCGACAATTGGCTTCTGCTTCCTCATGCATAAGAGCTCCCTGAAGTCACGGGTGAAATGATGCACCCACGGATTGCTTGGGCTTCAGGCTATCTGCACAGTGAACATCCAAACCGCAAGAACGTGTTACAACGTGCTCAGTGAATCCAAGTGCATCTTCTGTGGCCTGAAGTTTCTCACGTTGAGACTCCTCACTCAAAAGCTCGCCGCGAAGAGCAGCACCTGAGGAAGCAAACATTATGCAGCAAGCACAACGTCTTCACGGTGTTCGGTGAAGCTCATTGCGCCACCTTCAAAGATCTACCGTTTCATCTACGTTAGAAAGTAGAAGCAAGTCAAAAGGTCTAGATACAAAACTTGCAAAGTTGCGGGCGATCCACTTGACTTTGACCATGCCAGAAAGGAATAGGACCAGGATTTATGCGCATGCACAGGAACCCCGTGCATGTCTGGGCAGTCCGGAGAAAAGTACCAGAAAGGCGTGCCAATTGTTTCCGACAATCTCATTGCAGTTTGCTTTCATGGGGGATGCAGCCCCCTGTCTTTGGGATAGGAGATGTGTCGTGATGCGCTGTGACCGGCACTGCTGTGAGCTGTGAAGAGTGGTTTCTGGGCCTAGAACGTTGGAAATTGGTCTGCCAGCGATTTGAATTTTTCATTCGGTTCAGAAGCGACGTTTGGCCCAGGAACAGAGATGCCACCTACAACCAACATCTTCCTACTTCCCGACTCTCGGTTCATCTTCTGCGGCCAAGCCCAAACAAACACAAAAAAATAGAACTAGTCTTCAACCACATCTTGGCTTCTATGGAACCACTATACCGACCGCACTGATGCAGAAACCACGGTGCATTGAGGCTGGCTCACACCTGCTAATGGATTGGCTCCGCGCCTCTCCATACCAGCATCTTCCTACTTCTCCACGCTCGTTTCAGCACAAACGAGCACAAAATGTATTAACTATTTATTAAACCTGGGTGATCCCATGGCAAGGATGTCAAGACTCTATTGTCTCTTTGACTCTCCCAGCCAAGGAAGTCGGCAAATGCACTCCAGCATGAGACATGAGGTATGGAGAGACCATGTGTCAATCTTGCTTACGCGAAGGCTGTGGACAGTCCGCGCGCTTCAACGCATTCAACGCAAATCCCGAATATGCCCCGCATTGTCCTTCCAAACAGCCCCTCTCAATCCAAGACATGGCTATAGCCAAAACTGTGTATTGCTTCCTGACCAAAACAAACAAGTTTGTATCATTCTGTATCGGTCAAGGCACGCTCCGTCGCCGCATCTTGGAGCTCTGCAGCAATTGCGCTGCGCGCATCTGCCAGACGTTGTGTGAGCAGCCCAACTGTCTGGCCCTCCAAAACGTTTGTCTTTCACTCAGAAAAAACGCAACAATCAAAGCGGGTCGTTCCAGCTTTATGGTTCTAA